GTTTTATTCAAGGCTAGTTACCAGGCTCTTTCAATTTTTTTTAACTAAGAACGCCTTGTTCCTTTTCATTACACGATGGCGTATGATTCAATATACAGTTTTAAACACTGTTTATTGCTTGAAATTTGGTAAGTAAACCAAAAAAAATTGGTAATTTCATCAAAATAAGGAAACATTATGACATTATGATACATTTCTTCTTGATTATTAAGTTTTCTTTAGATTTTTGATGAATTATGCGGGATTTTGCCAGATTATGCGGAAATCGTTCGATTGTGTGGAAAAAGGCAAATTATGCGGATCCGCACCCGCGCATCCTGCTAAAAAAAATTTAGCTTTTCAGACTTTTCAGCCATTTCTTTCATATGCTTATGCTGTATGTGTTGAATGCAGGCCTCTTACAATGCTTTGAAGCAATTAAAGTAGCTCACCAGGATTCTTGACACAACAACAACGTAGTTATGCCTTTGTAGTTTATAATCATGTGCAGAAGGCAGGAACTTGATGTTTGAGACATCCAAAATTTCTTGTTTTGGGCCGGGTTCCCACTCAAATTGGTTTCCAGATACTCGGTTGATTACAATCTTGTGGTTAATCCAATGTATATCTTTATTTTGCTTGGCCATTGTCATGTCTTTCCTCTTCATTTCAAGGTCAATGTTATCAAAAACAATAGAGTATCCTGAATGACATTTTTCTTTATACAGTGATATCTTGTCTTTGGTAAGTTCTCTTTTGACTGGCCATTGTCACTTGGGTCACAGGTCACAACATTCCTTTTCAAGTCTTGGACTTCACAACTTTCCTTCACAATTCTATTTTGTGCCTGTTTCAGTTCAATATCGTGTTCTTCACCCAATGTATTCATTCTATCTAATGTACCTTGATTTGAAGTTGCAATCTTCATCTTTGAAAATCGAATCAAATTGGCCTAAAAGTAAGGTTTATACAGATGATGAAAAGATAAGCCCTAGAAATATGTAACTGCTAATTATTAGCCCCCCCCACACACACACACACACACCTCCCTGGGACCTCAGAGGATATAGACATTATTCATTCATGTAATTGTTTAGAAATATCATACACAATTAACAAATTACCTCTATAGATCCGGTCTTGAGCATAATGCCAAGGGTGGTGGCAGTTTGTGTATTTCTCTGTTTGAGGAGGGCTGACCCTGCTACAGCCACGCTTGGTAGCCATGTCGCATTTTTAGAACCAGCTACTGTCATTAAAAAAGCATAAAAAATTGGCGCCTTGGCCTTCCATTCCTCACACAGAGATTGAAAATTGAAATTCACAATGTCTGATTTTCCAGTATTTCTTAACAATGAGGGCTCTTTCCTTGAACAAAAATGGGAAGCCTCAACACAAGCAAGGCGAAGAACCTTCTCAATCACCAGTTTTTTGAGATCAGTGCACTTCAGTATCGCTTTTGCAATCCTCTGTGGAGGGCCGTGAGCGAGCGCTTTCCCAAGTGATTCATACTGCTTGGGAAGAGTCTTGTTTACAGTTTTTGAATCATAGTGAACAGATATTTTAACAGATGATGCAGGATTAAATTTTGAACTATCAGGTCTGGGAATACGGATGGGAGTCGATGTTAAGTTCAATAACACCGAAGGAGGAATAAATGTAGCTTCCTGGCTACTTAAAACATCTACTCCCAATGTTCTTGAAATTGGTGCTTGATGATCCACCGAAGAACAAATAGTTGAAGAAGTACAAGTGGTAGTACTATAACGTTTACTAAAGTGAAGCGATTTCACGACAGGTGATTGTGGGACTTTTGTCTCGTTGGAACTGCAGGCATCGATCTTAATACACTGATCTTCATGATTGGATCGCAGTCTCTTAGTTCATGTTCTTGGGAATGCTTCTATCAATGTTTGCTTGACGCTTTTTAACTCATTTTGAAGCTTTTGAAGCTTCAGTAATCGCTTATAACAAGTTTTACTACAAATAAATAAACTCGGAGTGTTGAAATATGTTGATACATTTATTTCGATTGATTTGAGCAAACCTTCAATATCAACGGACGACTTCCCAAAAATATTAATTCTTTCTTTAATCGGCGGATTACTTGAGCATAAAAAACAACATTTATCAACATTTACTATTTTTCAGGGAGTTTCCATACGAACACCAGTATATTTTGATGTAAAATATTTACGCGGGAAAAACCCTTTATTGAGCAGAATAAAAACTCTATTAATATAACATACATCGGGATTGGTTCCTGCAGAACAATAGCTCTATTTCTATTAGTTAAAAGATTTTTCAACAGAACAATGGGAATGGAATGTAGTGCTCGATTGAGCAGACGTTAGTGGGGAGGGAAGCGTTTACCGGACCGACACTAAGAACGGCTGCTGAGGAGATTATAAAATCCCAGGCCTTAACATGCTTGAGATAGCTGTGCTTGATTGGCTAAAACTTGCAAGCGTGATACCCTCAAATCTGTTATCTTAATTGATGAGGAGGAAAGGCCATTAAAGAGCTACACTAACTACAAAGAAGCTTGGATGCACATATTGCAATCTTCCCCACCACTTAATGACTACATGACCAACAATATCATTATTTCCACTGGTGATTGGCCTACATGCTATTTCCAGAAGAAATTATTAGCAAAAGTAATAATATTACTACTTTACAGTACAAGTTACTAAATGACTGAGCTTTTTTACTACTAGCAAACTTGTAAATTATATTTGACTAGTTTTTTTTATTTTGTTGCTTTGCAATGGCAGCCTAATGTTGATCCAACAGCCTACATTTCTATTGTTTCATGGCAAGGACCATTCCATGTCTCCTTTAATTCTCAGCAAAATCTCATTTCTAACTACCGTTTCCTCTTTGAGCAAATGTACAAATCCATTTTTGGACATCGCAAAGAACTAGCAAAAAAATCTAAGCCATACTGAATCAGTACCTTGATAACAGCTTGTTTTGGTGGCTGGTTGCTAATTAGGCAATCAGTCATGGCACAGTTTGGAGCATCGTATAAGAGCACTGAATTTTTACTGTTAATTCACTTAGATGATGAAATTGTCCCCCTTGTTTTTTATTTTTATCCTGTAATTTTTTGCAAGGGAAATCTGAATAATTATCAGGCAGCTCTAGTTTGAATGGCTATAATGTTTATGATACACAGAAGGAAACATTATGACAAGGCCACAATTGCCCAGCTGAGTGACCTTCAGTACCACCAGTCAGAACAGCCATTTTTAAATCAAGCACAAAAAGATACCCTGTACTCCCTTACAGAAAAGAAAGTTGAAGTATTCCATTCTATCCTTCGGAGGTATATCACAATAAACATTAATTTCTACTTTTACCAATTGCGACTCGAATGGTTTCAAATATTCAACACATTGGTGAGAAATTTCAAATTAATAACTCCTAAAATTCTAAAATGCAACTTTATATTGTAAATACCAAATATGTTATCTTAGAAGTTAGAGTCATTCATCATCTTATGACAATTAATGTCAAACTTGTACATATACAACGAATATAATTTTAGATGCTGTTCGATAAATTCTTGTATGATATTCATATGACAACAGATCACCCGATAAGGGGAAATTCACATTAAATACTTGTATTATATTTTTTCAGTGCTATATTTGATACGATTTTGAAGTTATAGAATAATATTTTATAGGATATATAAACATTCACTGACCTTCACCATGATAGCTCTTGTTTAGTCGCTCGAAAAATACACTTAATGAATTCAAACTCCATTCTCAGCATATAATTTTGGTCAATATTAGTCTTGCTAACAGTAGAACTTAGTTTATTTCTTCTTCACATCATGAATAATGAGTTAAAATTGAGAAACAAAATCGAAAGATTTCTTCGAAGCAAACATGGAGCAAACCCCTCTGACTTCATTTGCGGCTCTTCATTTGATTCGAGATCTTCTGCCCAAAAACGTGATGATAGCTCGTTAAAAGTTTCAATAGCCTCCAAAAAAGCCTCCCATGTAAATAAGAACACTTTTTCCTACGATAGTGGCGTTTTTTGATTTTCACACACGACAATTAAGAGGGAAAAAACCAATTTGTTTTCCAAACTTCTCTTAAAGCAACGATCAGAGAATGTCTCGTGGTAGCTAGTGCCCAGTGTGCATGCGCGGGGCTTTTTTTTTTTTTTTTTTTTTGCTCTTTCCTAAACTCATGCCTAATAACACGACTGCAGCAGTTGAGTTTTGGATTTTTTTCTACCTAAAAATAAAACCAATATCGTGCATTTTCATCCCCAAAATTAAATAAAAATTCAACATAACCTTCAGGAAATGTCCTTATCGAGGTCTTCCCTTGAAATCTTAAATTTTAACATAATTTTTAGGCAATAAAAGCTCAAACGTTCATGATTCTTTGTTTTCCTTGTGTGAAAAAGAGCGCGAACTTTAGCTTCTAGTTTAAATACGGAATACGAGCTGTTATGACAATTATAAGTTTTTGTACAAGCTATTGCTGTGAAAATGTAAAAATAAAATTGAGCAATAGATTCAAAAAACACGCATACTTCAAATTTATACGAAATCAATTAAATGACTGATGCGAAGGTGCAAAGCCGATCTTCCCGCGCTTGCCATGGGTATTCATAAAATCTCGATAAACGACAATCTTAAGAGTAAACGTTTATGGACTTTCGTACCTTATTATATATTTCAATTATATTTAATAATAATATGCTTTAAATCGAGGTAAATCAAAAGCCTTGACTACCGTTTGTTTGTTCGTATTGCTCGTTTCAGCTGTTTAAAAAAATAGATATTTCCACAGAAAATTACGATCTTTGAACGATTAACTACACAAATATCACACTTATGATACTGAAATACTTATCAAAGACTCAAGCCTGTTGACACTTGAAAATAGCTGACAGTTTTATCTCAAAAGACACAAAATGAAATCAACTAATAAAGTTCGTTTAATTCACATCAAACGGCCATCTTACCTGAATCGCGCCTTCTTCGTTCAATAAATCCATCTTTCACGATCCTCTGACTCAAAAAAATACCAAAATACTCTCATTTGGTCATCATTGTAGTCTTCTCTTTCCAAAATCAGTCATAAGTGATAGGTTAGTACAAGAAAGCAGAGAATTCAAGCTACTTGTCACCACCCGCCACGGTCAGTCGTGCGAAAAAAGCCACGAACCAAAGCCACACGGGTGTGAACAAGACGGTAGAGGACGGTAGAGGCTATTTTCGCGAGACTCAAAACGACATCCCGAAAATGACGTCACCTTCGTGTTCCCGACGGAATGATTGTCTCGATAGTGAAGCTACCGGAAAATCACCGGAAATCATGCCGTGTTGAAGTCGTGTTGAAGCACAGGAATAAGAATATTTCTTACTGGTGGGGGAAAAAATCTTAAAGCGGGCTAAATTCAAAAAATAACCACGCAGTTCAAAAGAAGTGCTATTTCTCAATGATCGGGTAAAATTTCGAGGCTTTATTTCACGTTTCAATGATTTTATTGAAATTTTTGATGAATCATTTCCCCATAGCAGGACACCACAGAAACCAAGCTTGGGCTACCTGTGGTTGAAGCCGTATGTTGAGTGGTTGAACGTGTAAATCGTGATTAATTTTTAAATAAAAATAAGAATCTCTCAATGATGTCGTACCTTATGTTATTAAAATCGTTTCATAGCCATTAATTGAAAGAAGAAACAATGTCAGCCTGATTCACGCGAAGTAATGTAAACAAACTTATGAACACTATTTCGCGTGAAGAAAATTGACAACCGGAAGTAAATATGATGGATGGTCCTTTTGGCGGGAATTTCAGAAATTTGCCGGGAAATGTGGTAAAAATCTTGATGGAGATGGACTATATTTCGAATCATTTGAATAACTACACATCTCTGGAGACAAATTTTCAGTGGCAAATCTAAGCGGGGGGGGGGGGGGGTGGGAGTTGCAACCCTCCCTATGAGCCATCGTGATTTATTATTATTATCATAATTTTTCATGACAACACCAACAGCATTGCGAGTTTTATTAAAACAGGGGTGCTGGACACATTTTGCTCGCTTTTTTTTCTATTCGCCGTGGGTGGGACCTGAAACAACCATGCTCGCCTACAGCAAATAATTGTCTCCCTAACCCTTTGGTCTGCTAGACAGACAGACATGTAGGGACCAGACTTAGACACGCGTAACTCAGTTTTCATTTAATTCGTAACGACTCTCATTACATCTCGTCATCGAAGACTTTGTACAGTTTATGACCTTTGTATGGTTTATACGCTATTGTACGGTTCTACAACGAGAAAGTTATATTCTTAACATAAGACTTACAAATCTGTCGTGTCTTCGTTGTAATTTTCGCGCGCTTTATAATGTATGCGGATACATGTATGCAAATTGTGTTGTAAGAGCGCCTCGTGGGACGAGACGGGCTAGGATACCGCGAATTTTTTAGTTTTATATATTTTTTCTATTCTTTTCTTGGAATAAAGTTGATTACTGTAACCACATTTCCTAAAAAATTCGTGTAAGTACTCAAGGATACCGTGGTCAAGATTCGTGTGGAATCAGGACAGGATTTTGCCGTGTTTTTGGTTGGAGATTTCTTCGTGCAAGGTTTATAATTTGTTGTGGATGTGAAATGTCAACACGTCGTTCGACGAAGAATATCAACGCCTCAGAGGTTTCTGAGAGGATTATCGCTCTTAAGAAGAGCAGAAGTGGCCATCTCGGTGAGATAACAAAGATTTATAGACGACTTGAGGAATATTTCAAGGATTATAAGTACACTAGCGAAGTTCGCAGTGAGAAAGACCGTCTTTCAGGTCAGTGGTATCGTTATTTAGAAATTCACTATGAAATACTCGAACAATTGACTGACGAAAAGGAAATATTGATCGAGACAAGCAAACACAAGGAACATAAGGAGAAATATCAGCATTTTATAAGGTCAATAGATGATTATTTGTTGAATACAGAAGCCAAAGAAAAAATTTCAAWGCACGGGGCTTCAGGAATTTCAAGAATGTTATTGGACGAGACAGGAATCCCAATGCGTAAATTTAGAGAAGTGGACGACGATGAGCTTAGTGTTGGTTCTGGATTTTCAATACGATCTAATTTCTCAAGAGCTAGTTCAAATGCGAGAGAAAATTCAAGGCTAGAGAGGATTTTGGCTGAAAAGAAACTGAAGCAGTTGAAAGCAAGCAAGGTAAGGAGGATGAAGGAAGAACAGCTGAGGTTAGAAAACGAGATAGCTGACGCCGAAGATGCTGCTGAATTAGCGAGAACTAAAGAAGACTTCTACRCGTCAGAGAGTGACGACGAAGAAAGGCACCAGCAGGGCAGTAAGAGCGCAGTGAARACCGGACCGGAACAAGACGAGTCACGTGACACGACTACRAACAWCAACGAAACCAAGCAAGAAGAGCAATCACCCGATAATAAAGCCGAGTACGAGTTGGAAACACTGCAAACTAAGAGAGTTGAGCACTCAGCATCAAACGCAGGAAGTGCATCGAAGCAGACCGTTCAAGTTTCCGGACAAACAGAGCCGCAGAATCCCGAGCCGAAGATTAACGAACCAAGTTCGACGTTAAACACAAGGAGTGTATCAATCCAAGCATCACCAATTTACTCATCTACTCCTGCGCGAACGCAACCAGAGAACACTGAGTCTAACTTAAACGTCAGCGCCACCCCATATACCCCGACATGGTTTAGCACCACACCCGCCAAGGTGACCTATCAATCTATGCCACCAAGCGCTACAGAAACCGTGATAGAAAGAATTACCTCAGGAATTGATTCTATCGTGACACGCTCCAACTTACCGCCACTAGATGTTGTCAAGTTTTCTGGTGAACCGCATGAATATTTCAGATTCAAGGCACGCTTTCACGAAATGGTCGAATCCCAAAATATCTCTGAGGTACAGAAGATGTCGAGATTGCTGCAGTACCTGGATGGCCCAGCAAGGCTTGCGGCTGCAGGGTTTGAAGGAGTGCCAGGCGGTTTGAGGAGCGCGCTGAAGTTATTAGAACAACGGTTTGGACAGCCCCACATAGTAGCCAAATCYTGTGTCGATACGTTAATAAACGGACMGAACATGTCAAGCACGGACAGACAAGGRCTTCAAGAATTTGCCGATCGTTCGRGAACGCTGTATGAAACTCTAAAGTCAATGGATGCCCTGTCTGAGATGAATATGTCCAATCTAAGCAAGATGTCGAGCAAACTACCGATCTCCCTGCAGGTAAAATGGAGAGACGAAGCCCAACGTATAAGAGAAAGAGGGCAGTTTCCTAATCTCAAGAACTTAGTCAACTTCATAGAAAGGCAAGCCGRTGCGGCTAATGATCCGATATTTGGAAGGATTGGCGAGTCCTACAAGAGTATCCCAAAGCCAGCAGCTAAGATAAATAGACGATCTACACCAACCACTGCCTTGTCGAGTGGAGCAAGGGTAACAACAATGTCTACGCAAGTAGAATCACCAAATCAGCGAAGTAAACCCAAGGATAACAAGAATACGTCGAGTACGTCAGAATCAACTCCAGCGAAGTGTTACATATGTGGTTCAGCACACAGGATMGAGAACTGTTCTGACTTTATTAGTAAATCTGTAAGACAACGATGTGTCCATGCAAGACAAARGGAACTTTGTTTGAACTGTTTGAGAAAGGGACATTTTGCAGCACAATGTCAATCCAAGTTTCGGTGTAAAGAATGCCAGCTACCGCACCATACTTTGCTGCACAAGGCAACGGAGGATAAGGATACAGGCAGCGCACCAAGTAAATCAACAACCACGAGTGAATCCAAGGACGTCAGTAAGACTACTGACACTACATCGGTCAACAAGCCATCACCTAACTATGCAAGCACGTCTTCGAGTGGAAGAATTGCATTACAAGTTGTACTAATTCAAGTCCTAAGCAAGGAGGGACACTGTCAGCACTTATGCTCTTTTGGATACCGGAAGTGAGGAAACCTTTATCTCAAAGGACATAACCGACAAGCTCAACATAGAGATCAACAACTATGATGACTTAGCTGTTAGTACACTGGCTGGAGAGTCTAGTGTCAAGGTTGGGCGAACCGATCTGAAAGTCAAGGGCGTCGGCGAAGAGTACGACACCTTTGTGCAGATAAAGGATGTAAAGGTAGTGGAGAACCTCAACATAAACACCACAAGACCAAAGGACATTTCACGATGGTCACACCTGAAGGACATAATAGTTCCTGACGTCGATGTAAAGCAAGTGTTGATGCTGATAGGAGTGAATGTACCAGAAGCACAGATACATCTAGAACACCGTACGGGAAGACACGGAGAACCCTATGCAGTCCGTACCTCTCTGGGATGGGCGATACTCGGT